AGGACGACAGAACAGGACGACAGTTAGGACGACAGAACAAGACGACAGTTAGGACAACAGAACAAGACGACAGTAAGGCTGACAGAACAAGACGACAGAACAAAACGACAATAAGGACGACAGTAATTAAATGACAGAGAAAAAGCAGGCAGGACGACAGATTAAGACGACGTCAACACACAACATACATGCCTACATATACTGATTTACCTGAACAAGTAGGCAATGACTGTAGACAAAGACAAATGTATAGTACAAAACACAAAGCATTTTTGACACAAATGGAACCTCATATCTTTTGCATATATATATGCCATGTTATTTACACAATCTACTATAGTACATGTCATAAAACTTTACAAAACCTAAACTGGAGATAAAGGGAGTTCATTTTAGTTCTTTGTTTTTTATATTAAATAACAACACAGATTCCGAACGTGTAATCATTTGTAGCTATAATGCTTTTATTACGAAACATATTATGTTTACATTTTTATTAATGTCAGCAGAGGGTGTCCTTTCATTATCCTCGGAAGACTCGCGCCTGTATTACAGATTAAGTTCCCAGTTCATATTTTTGGTTATACATTTGTTTTAATAACAGCAGAGGGCGTTCTTTCATCATCATAACCACACTACTGAACGATAATTGCATACAGAAACAAGAATAAGCATGGTCTAGTTCAAAATCACTTACCTAAGAAAGAACTGGGTAAAATAAGGTGGGTTATGGTTAGGTTTAGGGTTATAACTTAGTTATTACCCAGTTATTGTAATTACTATAATAAGTATGCACATGTTGAACAGGACTGTAAATGTGCTGCTTCCACAAAAGTAGCATTTTTGTTTTCACAAGTTACTCTCCATTTAATTGCCAAATCTTTGTGGAATTTCATGTATAATGGAAGTCCCCTGTGCAGTGGACGTTTTTGTGTGGGTGTGAGGAACTGGTGTTTTTCCCCGTTCTCATCCTCAGAGACAGGAACATTCCTACTGACCCAGAGGCTGGACTTCCTATTTGTAAGATAAACTCATATTGGTTCAGTGGGCCCGGGGCCAGACACACTTACATATACACTGTGAATTGGATGACCCTCTGAACTGAGCTCAGTCTATTCTAGCTATGCTATACTTGACTACATCCCTGCATGAGTATCAGGATCCCAAGTGCTTGTTTTTCAGGAAGTTTATAGAAATGTTGAGGGTACAGTATCAAGCTTTTGCTCCTTCTAAATGCTACAACAGTATTGAATTTCAAGATGAACTGTCTGTTTGTGAGATTCATCGTAAAGTTCCCCAAAAATGAAAATTCTGTCATCACTTACTCACTTACCCGTGTTGTTCCAAACTTGAAAGATTTTGGTAATCTTTGTATCAAAAATTTAGATATTTTTAATGAAGTCTGTAAGGTTTCTGTCCTTCCATTGAAAGTACAGTTAACCAAAAGGCAGAAGATACAAAAAGGTCATAAAGGCATTAAGACATCAATAACATTAATAAAAGCCTAAATTGAGTAAACAAGGACAGAAATTTTATTTTTGGGTGAACTAACCTTTTAAGAGAATGATGCCATTAGCCATATTTTCTTCATGTTTATCTACTTGTCGTGAATAATTGAAGGGCTGATGTTGCTCTAATATGGTAATTTATTTGAGGGTTAGTCAGAGTGTACACCTTTACAAATAAGGGAGCAAAGGTTAACTTTTAGCCAGACTCAAATCGATAAATCAATCAACAAATGAGAAACATGTTTTGAAAAAATGTCCCACATGTGCTTATAATTAAATTCCCATACTCTATAATCTAGACTAACAAGATTGTGTTTTAAAAAAGACATTTAAAATATCTTACTCTAAAGACTCATTGCAGTGTTGTGCGAATAACTGTCAATGAAGTGGTGCTTAGTTTTATTTCAAGGAACAAAATAAACAAGGAAATCCTCTTTTATCTCTTTTTAAAAAATAGACACTTTACTCATTATGTTAAATTCATTATGGTGCCTCACTTCCTAAGCTTTAGGTTATTTTTAAAGTATTGTTCTCAAGTATGCAGTTCCAGATAGCAGATATGAAAGACGCATCTGATTGTAAGTACTCTGGGAAATGGTTGAATGCTGTTTCTAAGTGCACAACAATTTGAGATTCAGATTTCCATTTGCCAAAAATGATGGCATGTGGAGCTGTCCAGTGCTGAATGTGCCTCTTTTATACTTACAGAAAAAAAGCTTGCATTTCACACACATTATATCAAACGAACCACTTACAGCTACTTCTCTACCACTTAAAATCTTTTGAGTTTAAACTATATACCAACACTCACAGTCAAAAGTTTGAAATAACTTGATTTATTTTTTTAAATCTTATTGAATTAAGTTTCGTAAGCTAACAAATGCTGCATTTAATTAATCAAAAATACAGCAAAAATAGTAATATTGTGAAATAATATTAGAATTTAAAATAATTGCTTTTTATTTAAATATGTTCTTGAGCAGCAAATCAACATATTAGAAGCATTCTGAAAGATCATGTGACACTGAAGACTGGAGTAATGGCTGCTGAAAATTCAGCTTTGCCATCACAGGAATGCAATTCCATGTGCTACATTTTAAAATATATTAAAATACTAAAGTCATACACAATATTATTGCTTTTACTGCGTTTTTCATTAAATAAATGCATCCTTGGTGAGCATAACAGAACTACTTTCAAAAACATAAAAAATCCTAAATTTGATCCGCAGTGTAGCTGAGTTTGTGAAGCACAATAACACTGGATCAGGCTTCAGGAAACTCCCTTCCCATGATTTAACAACTGGAGGAAGTGGCCTCCATTATACTATCTGGTTCATAAGGTCCCACGCCCACGATCAGCATCTTAAAATCTCAGCTTGTGTGCTGATCTCAGCATAGAAGTGGTATAAGTCATTTATCACAATCAGAGACATTGTTGTGAATTGCATTTTAGTCCAATGATGAAACTACTACAAGTTGTGCTGAAGACAAAGACAATACGACTGCACAGTCAAATACTGTTTATTGTTCATTTGGATAGTCAGTGAATGTGGTTTTGATATTATCCAGGCCTCTGGAGAGACAGAGGAGAACTTCAGAGAAAACAAACATCTGCTGTACAAGAATACAAAAGGCTTGGGGCTTAATATGGAATGAAATCACAGCTTGTTTAAAAACCTTAAAATTACAATGATAAACCATGGGTTAGTGCTTGTCACCTGCATTGTGCAGAATTGAGAGTGACAGAAATAATTAGGGAGTCATTTTTTATATTTTTAAGAAGGACAACAGTTTGCATGGACCTTGCAAATGCTTCTATTTTTCTATTAAATGCACCTGATTGTCTTGCACATTGTGCCTTTCTGAATGTGTTTTGAAACCATGTAAGACCAAAATAATTGAGATAAACCAGAAAAGCCTGTACTACCTTGATTCTCTAATGCATAAGATGTTTTCTAAAATAGTGATTTCTAACATCATCCCCTGGTCAAAGCTGAGCTAAAAGCCTTTCTGCCACTCTGTTTTTTTTTTACAGGTAACTGAATTGAATTACCGTCTCTCAAACCAAAAAACAAGCACAAAATTTCGATCTGAAAATGCATTAATCAATACCACTTGAGCAGTGAGAGGGCCTTAATGCAGTTCAATAATAAATGACAAAAACAGCACGAATACATAATCAGATTGTAGAATGGCTTCTGAAAATATCGTAGTGACATTTGCACTTAAAAAGAGTGCAAAATGGCTTTGGTGGAATGATTACAATGTATGCAAAGCACAACAAAATTTTCACAAAAAAATAATCAATATGATGTTGTAGATGCTCCCATGAAACCTTTGATCACCTTTACAATCAGGCAAAAAATTAAGCAAACAACAAATCATACTAAGGCCCAACATTAGTTGTAGTATACAAATATTCCTAATAAACATCACAATAATCCACAGGTAATCAACAAGACTTCAATCCATCAATTAACATTGAAAAGCTGCATGTTTGTAAGAAACATTTGAACTTTAAACGATCATTTCTGGCAATATTAACACTTCCTCCAGTGAAAAAGTCCATCCCATGTTGTCCTCTTGCATCAAAATCCACCAACATATCTGTTTAGAAATGTTTTGGACTGTTTTCGCTTGTAAACGTTGCTTAATCTGTGCATGTTTCTCTCCTGATTCAGACGAGATGACTTTTTCACTGGAGAAAGCAATATTACAGATAAAGGACTCTTTTGGAATGGTTTGAAGTTAAAAATGTCTTAATGATGGATCTGCATATTAAAAAACACAGCTTTACATTTCACAAGACACTAATTGATGGACTGAAGACATGAATTACTTGTGGATTATTGTGAGGTTTCAAAAATTCCCATGAAACCTTCTATCACTTTTACAGTCAGGCAAGAAAATCAAGTAGACAACAATTCATACTATAAGGCCTAACATTAGTATTGTAGCATACAAATGTTGCCCATAAACACTTGACAATTATAAATCTTCGATCTTCACAATTAACACCCCGTTTTAATTTTTTTAATACAAAGCTTACATTCATGTGATATTGCTGTATGAGAAAAATAGCGTTGCTTCTACAAGCTGATGAAAAAAGTGACAATGAATATAAAAAAATAAAAAAAGCACAGTCACAGTCATCAGCCTCGCAATCACGATTTATAAAAGCTTGTGATTTAAATCTATATACAAGCAACCGTAGTGGAATGAACATCTATGAAAAAGGAACAAGTGGTTTCCCACATTTCAAGAACAGTGCTGCTCCAAAAACCTGAGGATGACAGAAACACATCCGTAAACGCTTCCCTCAGAGATACACATCCATGGTCTGAAGGATCATGTGGCGGCACAGGGGGCAGTTGTGTTGGTAGATAGGCTGGCTGAGCAAAATGTTGGTGCAGTCTCTACATAAGCACAAATGACGGCATGGCAGGAGCACGACAGTCTTGGTGCTGTCTTGACAGATCACGCACTTCTTCCTCTCCTCTTGCTCTTGCAGAAGAGTCAGCAAGTTGTCAGCCGGAGGGCCTTTGCAACTGTCCTCCGAAGGAAACTTCCGGAGTGGCCTGTGAGTGCTGGAACTGGGAAGCGGTGGGTTTATAGGGTCGTCCACTTGGTGGGCATCCTCAGGTGCGTTTTCCAGCACATTAAGGTCAACTTGAGGCTCAGGGTTGGGATCAGGCTGCTGAACGTCCCTCTCTGCCACTTCCATCCTGGCAGGAACCATTACCTGGCTGCGATGCCAGGCCAATCGCCGCCACACGTTCCTCTCGAGCACATTGAGGCGGTGTAGAGCCCTTTGGAGACACCGTAGGATGGGGACAGCGTTGATGTAGTTGATTACGCGCAAAGACACAAGTTGTGGGAGCGCGGGGTTTAGATATACGGTGGCACTCGCAATTATGATCAACGTGAGCAGCAGCCCGTAAGAGTTGAGCAGGAAAATGCTTGCAAATACATGGCACATGGATCCCAGGAACTCCATCGCCAGTCTGCATGGCGTCCACAGCAGGATGGAGGTGCCGACAAGACTGCTATAAAGAAACGTAAGCACCGTCAAAGTCAGCTCAAGAGCTTTCTGCAAAGGGCAGGACACCGCTTCCACCGTGCTGACCACCACAGAGTATAAATTCTGTGTGCCTATGAGCAGCAAGTTGATGATCGTGTTGATGAAATACAACAGCAAGCTGAACACAATTCCACAGCCTTCCCAGGCCTGTCGCAGCAAACCGTGTCCCGACAACAGTCCGCGGTGGAGAAGCTCTTTGGTGCGGAGCAGTAGATGCGAAGATAGGTATCCGATCATCTTGAAGCTTTCCAGGACGCCTCCCAGCAGCTGCATCCAGCCTCCGACCATGTTATGGGTCACAACTGTTACTCCGTCCCTCATGGTGATGATGCAAAGCAGAGTGAGATTCCAGAACTCTGACACTGAATTTGTGAGTAGCATAGGCAGACTACTGGTAAAGGAGATCACTGCCACCAACAGCTGAATTATTGAGCTGACAATCACAAAATTTAAATCCAGGAGGAGACAAATGACATCTATGCATTTCCCAATTGAACTAAAAACAAAGTTCAGTAGACCCATAATAAAGATTGCTAAACTGTAGCCTTTGTTAGCCGGAATGGACTATATATTATTTGTCGTATTATCTGTGCTGTCAAACGACATAGTTGAGTCTGTAGTTACACAAACAAACAGCTCTCGTAGCCAAGTTAGCTCGCGTGCTAACCCATTCGCATCTTTACTAACGCTGACGCCTTGGCAAACCACTTGGGGTTAAAATAAAATCAACTCAAGTCGTATTATAACTGACCATTAGCTGGGAATGGCATGTCCTCTGTTTTGGACCAAAACACTCATCCCAAACATGGGTAGCATAGTGAAGTGTCTGCTTACACATGGACGGGAACTGCTCGGCGGATGTTTACGTTTGAAAATCGAAACTGCTGGTTGTGTAAAGATGTATCCCAATTAGAGGTTCATTTTTATACACGGTGTAATTCAAGCGTCCGCGTTATTTTGTGAAGCTCCAAGACGACGACAAACTCGCGTCTTTGTTTGGATTATTAATGACTAGAATCGAAAGCTTCTCGTTCTGTTTCAGTCCGTTGCTTCCGCTTTACAACACGTGTTTGAAGTGGATCAACCCGGCGCTCGGGCTGCGCAGAAATGCGCCTTTCTACCTTCTTTTGGTAATTTTATTGTGCATGCCTTGATTATATTACAAATAATGTACAAATAAAGGAGATCTAGGGTGATGGAAATTAAATCGCTCGTGATTGGTAGTTTAAACAAATAAATCCTTATCTATGCTGTTATCAATTTCGAACAGCTGTTGCATGAATTGCATGAATTGCATGCTTGATTGAATCACTGCCATAATTTATTTATTTGTCGGTTGTTGGTTCAGGCATTTGGCTTTTGTACTTAGAATATTGGACATGTTCTACAATATGCACTTTGTTTCCATTTGAAATGTTTTTACAGTTTTGTCTCACTAGGGTGACCATATTACCCTACCCATATTTATTTTCCAAAAAGAGGACAGTGGGTGCGGGGGCTGGGGTTGGTTGGTGGATAAAGTAATGCCCAAAATAGCGCCCAAAGTTGCGCAATGACCATATCCCAAATATCAAAACTCTAAATATGTCATTTCCATACGTAAAATACATATTTTTTACATTTACACAGCTAAAAAGCTTCCTACCAGTGGCCATCCTTCAAAAAACTCAACATCTAGCACAGTTTTATCACAGAATGCAAAACGTTTCAATACAAGCATTTCAGTCAAATGTAATTTATGCAACATTTCAAACGGGGAAAATCAACCCATGGTAACAGTATAAAAGTAGCCCAATTCCATTAAAAAAAAAACGTGGACTTGACAACCCTGCATCCAACACAAGCTGCAGGAGTCAGGGGAAAGATGACTGACAGATCATGTTGGAGGATTTGTTGCTAAACAGACCCTGAGCTCATTGACAAATATCTGATCTTCTTTTACACAGAGTAGGCGTGATGGCTAAATGAAAGTGAACAGCGAGCGCTCATTCAAAAGAGATGTAAATAGGCTACTCCGCATATTGATGGCAGCTCCCATGTGCGAAAATTATATGCAATATTGGAATGTTTGCGGAGTGGTCGGGACTGGACACAAACATCACGGGAGAGGGCAGTAATGGTCAGAAATTCAGTGGGAGTGGGATTAATAAAACAGTCCCTTGCAGGGCTCTAAAAAAACGCACACAATGAATGGCGGCTGTAGAAAGCAAAGCCGAATCCCGGACATTTTGTGCGATTTAGAAATCCCAGCCAGACGCATTTTTTTAGGTCCGAAAAGAGGACATGTCCGGGGAAAAAGAGGACGTATGGTCACCCTAGATTCACAAAACATAGGCCCACAAAAGTCCAGTTACACAAAGTTGTTTCATTTAACAACTAAAAATACTTGTTATATTATAAATAATTGTTTCACTGTTTAAAATCAGCTGAAAATCCAATAATAGTCTGTTTTATGACAGGTTTCATTCTGACATCTTACCTCATTCAGTATGACAAAAGGGCAAAATGAGAATGTGTGTTCAAACTGTATCATTATTCCTGAGCAAAAATGGTAGAAATGTTTAATAGTCTTTTGTAGTCAAGGATTATACAGAAAATGACTGTCAAAAACAAATATAGCCTACACTGAGAAATATTTATTGGAGTAAATTGCCAACTAGCCCTGGTTTCGCTAAGTTATTATTTAAGACTGTTTTATTGTTACCTATTTGGTTGTTAACATTTTACAGCTCAATCATCACAGTATCTTTCTGAAGCGGACTTTATGAGAATATTTATTTTAAATTTCAAAGGAAATAATGTTCTTGTCTGCTCATTTGAGCTGGACAAATAAACAAAATGATGATTTCCATTTTTGTCAGTCAAGCTTGAAGAAAATATATAACTGATTGATGCTTATAGAACAAAAGAGAATGCCAATAGAGAGAGAATAGCCAAATCAGCTAGTATTGCATTTATGAATGCCTCTGTTAATATTTAAAGGGCAAATGTCACACAGAAACACACGCACATAGACACATGCAAACACACAAACAATGTGATGTGTTGGAATGCAAAACTGCAGCTTTGCTGAGCATTTGTCAGGGCCGGTAGGTCGAACACTCTTTAACCTTCATCTGAGGCCAAACAGACATTCTCAGCTGAGGGCCTCTTGGGAAAATAAACAAACTATACTGATCTGAGGCCCCCATTTGGAAGTAACAAAGCCCTGGAGAATAGATTTCCTTTGACAGATTTCCTTCTTCTAGAGCATAAAGCAAAACATATCTGTATTTTCCATGGGTCACTTCCACTCCATTAAACTCAGTGACAGTCCTCAAGTGCTCCTGTCTGCTCCTTGCTTGAGCATTAAAGGAAATCTTCTCTCACGAGGGAAACAAAATACCGGTGACTTGATTTTGTTGAAGGCTATTCTATTGTTTCACTGACCCATTTCTTAAGAAAACATGTATTTCCACTCATATGTGACAACAGCTGTTGGATTCTGTTCAAACAACAACATGGAAATATGTTTAATGTGGTTTCTTAGCACATGTTTTGTTGAATTGGAAATATTGTTGAAACGTTGATGGGTAGATTGTTATCCCACTCAAAATAATCGCTACACAATTTTTCACAATCAATGACATTTCATGCAGTCCACCTAATCCTTTTGTGCCGAGAATACATAAATCAAGTGAAACTGAACAGTGGATTTCTAGTTCCCAGCATGCTTTGCTTGGGACTGGATTGGGGGAGTAAATGTTGAATGTATTTGTTATGTATTTTTAAGTAAAGGGAAACATTTGTTAGTGTTTTGTGTTCAGTTATCTTGAAGATTTAGAAGTAGTTCTGTCATGTTGGAGTTTTTTGTGTGTGTGTGTGTGTGTGTGGCTACCGTTGTGGAGAAGAGAGGAGCTTATCTTGCTTAGCTTGTTGGCTTATAGATATTGAGAGTGAAAAGTGTTTTATCTGTTAGCATGCTACCATGTGTCATTGTTAGTTAGCAATCAGCTGGAAGCAAGAGTTCATTTGGTAAGTCAAATTTTTTGATGTATTTTGTTTATCAGAAGAAACTTACACTACACTGAAGGCATACAGTATATTTTATCAGTTTATACAGGACAATTTTGCTGGAAATCGAAACTTGAGCCGCTTCCAGCAAACTGATCCTGAATAAACTGATAAGTAGCACTGGTTTAAACTACAGCAAAACTCACAGAAGAGGTGCTTTTTCACACTTCTGTTTAAAATGTCAAATGTTTCAAAAATGGTTATGATACTGTTTATCATATTCAGTTTATGGAAAACGTTTTAAAAAGTTAAGTACAGTTATAAAAATCATGTGTTCTCATATTTATTTTTTTTGTAGTGTGTGAGTATTAACGTTAAAGGTTTGCTGTTTTAACAAATTACCCTTTATTTTAATAGTTCATTTTAGACATTAGTAACTTTGCAACGACATGTCAACTAACTCTCAGCTATTAATAGACTGTTAAATTAGAATTAGTATAATTTGAAATGTATTTGCAAAGTTACTTGTAGTAAGAAGAATGTGTTGTTGAAGATACTCTAATGAGTGGTAGTTGACATGTAGTTGTAAACTTAGAATTAGTAGAATGTCTAAAATGGACTATCAAAATAAAGTGTTACCTTTTAACAGATGTTTCTGTTGTTTTTCATGTATGTGATTTTTATTCATTTTATTGAATCCAGTTATGGTCAACTGACCCCGAACATAATGATTGTATCCAGATTTTGAACCAAATAACAGGGTTAAATTGCAGCTGGTGCTGTGTTGACTCAGGAAGTTTATCAAAAGCAATATGAGGAGAACTATTAATAGTCCCTCAGTTAGAGACAGACTGATGGTGCAGTAATCCAGAAGCTTCTATGGGAAAACACAAACTCTCAACAGAAGAAACCACTGGTGTGCTGTCTGGTCACAACCTAGGCTATGACTTCACATACCACAGCAACCCACGAGCTCCAGCCAAGTTCAACACTTGAGCGAGCTTAAAAAGAAGGATAGGAAGGGAGAATGAAAGGGGTAGAGAAAATATTGATATGTTCAATTGGACAATCCCTTGGGCTTTTTAAGTAAAGGGAAACATTTGTTAGTGTTTTGTGTTCAGTTATCTTGAAGATTTAGAAGTAGTTCTGTCATGTTGGAGTTTTTTGTGTGTGTGTGTGGCTACCGTTGTGGAGAAGAGAGGAGCTTATCTTGCTTAGCTTGTTGGCTTATAGATATTGAGAGTGAAAAGTGTTTTATCTGTTAGCATGCTACCATGTGTCATTGTTAGTTAGCAATCAGCTGGAAGCAAGAGTTAATTTGGTAAGTCAAATTTTTTGATGTATTTTGTTTATCAGAAGAAACTTACACTACACTGAAGGCATACAGTATATTTTATCAGTTTATACAGGACTATTTTGCTGGAAATCGAAACTTGAGCCGCTTCCAGCAAACTGATCCTGAATAAACTGATAAGTAGCACTGGTTTAAACTACAGCAAAACTCACAGAAGAGGTGCTTTTTCACACTTCTGTTTAAAATGTCAAATGTTTAAAAAATGGTTATGATACTGTTTATCATATTCAGTTTATGGAAAACGTTTTAAAAAGTTAAGTACAGTTATAAAAATCATGTGTTCTCATATTTATTTTTTTTGTAGTGTGTGAGTATTAATGTTAAAGGTTTGCTGTTTTAACAGATTACCCTTTATTTTAATAGTTCATTTTAGACATTAGTAACTTTGCAACGACATGCCAACTAACTCTCAGCTATTAATAGACTGTTAAATTAGAATTAGTATAATTTGAAAGGTATTTGCAAAGTTACTTGTAGTAAGAAGAATGTGTTGTTGAAGATACTCTAATGAGTGGTAGTTGACATGTAGTTGTATACTTAGAATTAGTAGAATGTCTAAAATGGACTATCAAAATAAAGTGTTACCTTTCAACAGATGTTTCTGTTGTTTTTCATGTATGTGATTTTTATTCATTTTATTGAATCCAGTTATGGTCAACTGACCCCGAACATAATGATTGTATCCAGATTTTGAACCAAATAACAGGGTTAAATTGCAGCTGGTGCTGTGTTGACTCAGGAAGTTTATCAAAAGCAATATGAGGA